GGATTATTGAAAAGTATACAGCTCTCTTTCATCTGAGTGTTGAGAGCTGTTTCCATCAATTCATGTTGTGCTCAAAGTGCTCCAGATTGATGCTTTTCCCTTCAACATTTAAAAAGAATCTTCCCGGGGGTGCATGCCCCTAGAGGAGGTGAGGACCCCCCTAGAGGAGGTGAGGCCCGTCCACCCCCAAATAAAGCAGGTTAAAATAATTAAATTGAATACATGTTCTTTTAGAAAACACTGCAAACGGGTCCCACAGACCCAAACAGCACACAAAGGTTAAAGGTCAGCATATCATAATGTTAAAATGTGCTAAATATATACACTGCAAAAAACAAAAAAAAGAGGAGTAAAAGTAGCCCCCGACTTGTTTTATTTTTTGAAAGTAGCCCTCACCCTAAAAAAGGTTGGTGACCCCTGCCCTAGAGGATTTGAGGTCCACCCCCATTTCAAACATGTTCCCATGGATAGGTTCCCAAATACTTTTGCAAATTTTTTAAAATAGTAACCCCTGTCCATATGTTTATTATTGGGTAGATTTAAACTATAGGGCTGTCACTATGGGCAGCAACGCTGTAAATATTCACAAATAAATCCAGCAAAATGGCACAAAAAAAACTGGTTGTGGCCGGGCTGGGTATATAATTCCCGGCCTGACTAATGGCGCATTTCCACTACACAGCCTCACTCGGCCTCGCTCGGTATGGCTAGGCCTTGTTAGGACTGGCTCACTTTATGCTGCGCTTCCATTACAGTTTAGGAACTGGGGTAGTATCTATAGTAACGCAGTGTAGGCGGAGCCGTGACGTCATCTTCAATGAGAACCCCAGAAAAACAACACAGCCGTTAGCTGTTAGCACTCACAGCTCCTCATATATGTTCAGAAACTAGACAAAAGTTAAACAAGTACAAACCACAGACTGTCTGTGTCATGGCGAGTACAGTCGCTGGTTTATTTATGTCTGTAGGCCGTTGTTGTGAGTGTGGACGGTCGGAGCATATACTGCGTTAGCTTAGCCGATCTCCATTTAGACAACGCGCATTTTAAAAGGTTTTTCGCCTGCCGTCTGTCTGCAGACTTGTCAAAGCATTAATTCATGGTTTTACTAACCGGTATCAGTATGTTGTTACTTCGGCATCATTTTGAAACGTGTATTACAATTAAATCACGGTCAAATATGTTCATCTTGTTGTAGTTGTAGCCCCCTTGCCAGCGATTCTCTCTCTAGTTTAGCAAACTCAGCCCGACTCAGCCCTGTTTGTTGGCCCCGATAGAACCACGATTTTGTCGGGCCAGAAAAAAAGGTGAAAAAGTAGCCCCGGGCCGGAACTAGGCATAGTGGAAACGCAACCAAAAACGGGCCCAGCACGACACGGCACGCTTAAACCGCGCTCCGTGCCGTGGTGGAAATGCGCCATTATTGTCCCAGTCCGGCCCTGATGGCAACAGCCACGTGCACATTTCCACTACAGCGCGGAGGGCGGTTTAAGCGTGCCGTGCCCGGCCCATTTTTGGTTGCGTTTCCACTTGGCGTAGTACCGGCTCGCGGGTACTATTTCACAGTTTTTCTGGCCCCATAAAATCGAGGTTCTTAGCGGGCCAACAACCAGGCTGAGTCGGGCTGAGTATGCTAAACTAGTGAGAGAATCGCTGGCAAGGGGGCTACAACTACAACAAAATGAACATATTTGACCGTGATTTAATTGTAATGATTTCAAAATGATGCCGAAGTAACAACATACTGATACCGGTTAGTAAAAACCATGAATTAATGCTTTGACAAGCCTGCAGACAGACGGCAGGCGAAAAACCTTTTAAAATGCGTGTTTTCTAAATGGAGAACGGCTAAGCTAACGCAGTATATGCTCCGACAGTCCACACTCACAACAATGGCCTATACAGACATAAATAAAGCAGCGACTGTATTCGCCATGACACAGACAGTTTGTGGTTTTTACTTGTTTAACTTTTGTCTAGTTTCTGAACAGATATGAGGAGCTGTGAGCTTGAGTGCTAACAGCTAACGGCTGATGTTGTTTTTCTCTGTTTCGCATTGAAGATGACGTCACGGCTCCGCCTACACTGCGTTATAGTTACTGCCCCAGCTACTAAACTGTAATGGAAACGCAGCATAAAGTGAGCCTGGCCTATCAAGGCCTAACTATACCGTACTAAGCCGAGCGAGGCCCTGCAATGGAAATGCGCCAATAGACATCAAAGTGGGCTTGAGCCCCTGCCCTTTTTCTTCCTCCAGAGAATGTGCCCTTTTTTCCCCCTTTTTTAAATTTTTTATAAATGAATATATATCTACTGCTGTTTGCGCACAGTTTCCCTTTCCAAAAATATATTGATTGAATACAGAATATCAGATCGGGAGATTAGACTGTGAAGTTCCGTAGCTCTCCCTCCCTCCACGTCTCCTGCACAGCGGTGCGGACATCGGCAGTCACTTCAGACAGACAGGTAGCAGCACCTCCCACGTTACTGTCCCATGTTATGCCGGTGAGTGGTGATGAACAAATTACTAAACTGCCAGTGCCTCGAGTTTACAGCTAATTAGCTAAAAGACAATAGAGGCTTCTCAATACTCTAATTTCCCCTCCTCGACTCCTATCCTCGAGACTTAGTCCCGCCCACAGGAGATGCGAGCGGAGGACTCGAGGAGGGGAACCGAGGAGAGAGGAGGGGAAGCAGCAGGCGGTTAGAGAAATTAGAACTCCTCTCCTCTGAGCGGTCATATAAGAGACGTCCATTAATGATGACAGGAGGCCCTCTGTCTGATGGACAGATGTGTTCATGACCACTTATATATTTACTTTGAATTCATTGACAGTACGGTATAATGAGACAATAACAGGCTACAGATGCGGACATATACACACAAATATATTTATATAAACATATACAATTTAAAGTATGAGAGCACTCTCATAATAACGTAACACAATCAGAGACTGGATATATCCCCCCCCTCTCTCTGGTCGCTGAAATGGGGAATTGAAATTACGGGACAAAAGTTGTATTTACAAGTATTAAAAGTAAGGATAGGACACCAAACCAACTGAGACCCGTCTGTCCGCCGCATCTACGCACACACTGTACCACACACACCTACAGCTCCTAAAGCATAATCAGGCTACAGCACATATTTTATTATGTGAAGCACTAAATGGTCTTAGAAAAATATCAACTCTTTGTTTGTAGATATCTACTAAACTACAGCATACAAATACAGAGAGTAATGTAGGCCTGTTATACTGAGTGATATATATTTTACACACTGCTCTGCTTTCTGCACGGACCTCACAGCTGTTCACTGTAAACATCGCGTTGCGATGAAAGCAGTTCAACAAACGGTTTCGGTTTTACTAAAATAATATCCAGGGGATGCATGCAGAGCTGTCATTGGCTGAGATAAGTCCGGCCGTGCGTAACGACTCCACCGTTCCCGGAAATGCATCCACGGAGGAGCCGTGGAGGACCCATCAGTGTATCCTCGGTTATAGCTCCTCCAGAGAGCCTCCTCGATGCTCGGTCCTCGATGTGCATTTAGAGAAATTAGATGTCCTTCAACATGGCGGGCTGAAATCCATTTCCGGGTCACTACCGGAGGACCAAGGAGTCGAGGAGTCGAGGAGGGGAAATTAGAGTATTGAGAAGCCTCTAATAACAAATATAGTTAACTAGGTAGGCTACTAGCTAATGGATAAGTTAGCTCAAGGTTTAGCTAAGGCAATTTATCATGGGCATACAGGCTAATGTACTGTAGCCTACTTAAGGGGAGACACTTAAAGTGAATACAGTAACATGTGTATCTAATAACGTCATCACAATCGCCACATTGATATGCAAATTAGGTGTTAACTAGGCCTAATTAAAATGCGCTAATTTGTATGCAGTTACCAAGGCATTGCAGGTGGAAAGGATAAAACAAAAAAACACATCACCTCACAACTTCCCCAGATAGTTACTTAGGTCAAGTCAGTACTTTCCCCTGAAATGTTATGTTTAAATGCAGATTAGCTTTAAATCTATAGATGAATTCAGACATGGTAGTAAAACGAACACCATTTATATGTGTTTCTTGGAAGTTTTATTTCCATTAGAGTGAAAGAAAACATAATTGTACTAGTTTGTTGTCTGCTCTTGTGCATTGTGAATACTAAAGAAGACCATTGTCTCTGTTAGCTGATTATTTTGTAGAATTCTGTTGAGTATTAAACAATTGCGTGAGTGTGAGGGTATTAAAATTAATTGGTCAGTAAGTCAGAGATGTGCAACTATATTTAACTTTTTGTTTTAAAACATTTTGTTATAAATGATTATGGGAAGTGCCCTTTTTCTCACTTGAGCACCGGCCCCCCAAAATGTCTGTGCACGTCCCTGGATGGCAATGTTATTGAACAGTAGCATCTGAAGCTGCAGACTGAGGACTTTTCTTTGTCCCAGCATTTTGACTGAGGGCGCACAGGGACAGCCTACAGGGGGGGGGGCATTCGATTTGATGGAGTAATGACGTTTCTTATCAGCCATCCGCACTGCTGTCACAGCTCGGTTGCCCTGTCTTGGGTCTTTGTCATGCACATGCGTGCACAAGAAACGGTTACCAGCTACAACAAGAAATCAAGCATAACAAGGCATCAACCAGGTTTCTATTCATGCCTGCCTCCACTCGAGGAAACCGGGTTACTCAAAGAATGTATGTAAAAAGCTTAAAACGACCCCGTTACTTCCATTAATGTAACGAACACATTGTTTCTTTAGCCCCATCGGAGTTAACATGGCTCTCCATCCAGACACAGACAACAACACTACTACCAACCAACCAATCAATCAGATCTCTCTCTGTCGCCACCGCGGAAATAAACGACCAATCAGCTTCCAGTGATAAGGGCCTGAGGACTAATCAGCTGTCTGTCTGGATCTTCTGGGGAAACGAACAGCCAATCAGCAGTCTGTCTGGTCTACACAGAGTGACTGCCTGGCCAATGAGCGGTGTGTCTAGCTGCACCGAGGGGTGAGCGTCTGCCGAGGCCCAATCAGCGGCTCAGTGCTGCCTGCCGGTGCCGGAGACTGGTGGTGAGGAGCCGCTGCAGCGCGTCAGGACCGGACCGTGAACCCGGAGACGGTACACACTGAGGCGAAAAGAGACACAGGTGAGTCCGAGGATGTGCGCGAGGCCCTGCTCCGGCGGGAGATGTTTTGAAACGGCAGCGGCGGGATTGGTGTTGCGGCAGGACGGCTAGCTGTTGTGTCGTTTTCCTCCCGGTGGATATGCTGATAGACAATAGAGCGGCTTTGCTTTGCTATTTATTGATGCGGGCTGACATGTTGGCGACCAGCAGCCGTCGCCTCGAACTGTTCATTTGCATTTAAAGGTCTGGAGTCGCAGCAGAAACATTATGGGATATCTTAATCTTGCCCGGCTCGTTGTGTTTTGATAAAAGCTAAAGTGGTAACGGAGATCTCGTGATTACATTGTGATGGGAACGTTGTGCGGAATGCCTCCAATCCGTTTCATTGTTTGATCCGGAGTCTCTAGGGGTTAACTCCGACTGGAGAAAGAGCCTCCGAATACTTGTTAAAGAGCGCCGGGATTATATGAGACGTTTGAATGCTTTTATTGAAGCAGAGCTGCGTGAAGTGGCGGATTAAAACACGCGAGCAGGAGGCCGGGGTCGCTGATGGCTCTCAGCAATTAGGTAGAAAAATTCGAAATGCATCAGCCATTTACGTAGACTCAACTGGCTCCATATGCACCTAAATGGCTGCCTGGCGCTGACAGCATAAGCAACACTTCACTGTAAGGCAAGGCGGTATACAGGCGGCTGCTTGTTCCTGATCGGCGGATTAACGGAGGGAGATGTCTACATGACGTTAGAGACCAAATGGAAATCAATATTTAATGTGTGCTGCCTATTATTCTGCAGTATGCAGGACCTCATTTCGTGTCTGCTGAGAGAATTGTTCTCTCCTCTGTTGCTGCACTGCTCCTCAAGATTTACATGAGTCACATGCAGATGGATTCTCATGCATATGACTGCTTGTCTTTGTGTTTGTGTTGCACATTAACGTCAATAGGCTGTGCACAGATGGAGGTGGTTATATGAGGTGAAGAGACACGGTGTGTTAGGTTCCTCCATTATGAAATCATATTTACAACAATTACTCATTTTTAAGTTTTTCGTAAAGAAACATTGTAGTTATGTCATTTGCACCAGCTTTGGAAAATGCAATACTATTGGTCTGTTGGAGTAAAAAGTTGACAGACAGCAGGATAATGGTCACTTTGTGCCATGTAACCTTACACTTTCCTCTGCACTTTCAAACAGCTGTTTGTTCTGAGTCCTGTCTCCTCTGTAGACCAGGCAGAGCACATTTCTCACACAAGGCATTTAATAAAAGGGTTTTCTTACGACACACAGAATTTAGGGACCAGTGTTGAAACCTGTGTGGAAGGACTGTGGTTGTGGAACAGTTGGCAGACCTTGCTACACTCAGCCCTCCACTCACATAGTGATAGTGGGTCTGTATGAATGAAAGGTCCCTGCTGTTGAGGAGTGTGAATGAACTGTAGTATTCTCAATGATGGAGTCCTTCCTCTTCCTATTTCCAGCTCACAGTCCCTCACCAGCGGCAGCAGCATACAGATGAACACATGCTGCCATGACACATTTTACACTATTCACCTCCAGAGTGTAGGCTTTGATGAATATGCAATTAGGCTTTAATCCTGCTTCAGCTAGTCATTATAGAAACAATGCACATTGTGATAATATAGTTTCTACCATGTGTAGAAGCAATCTGATGTCCTGCTATAACATAAACACTTTTTATTAAAGATTTTATTCAAGGAGGCAGTCGACATAACTTTGTCATGGTGAACAAAATATGTACGCGGTACACTGTTCCTTCACAAAAACATTGTTGGCGGTCTATTTGCAAATGTGCATTGCCATTGAGTGAAATCAGATGATGTTGTTTTGACTGTTGAAAGGACTTAAAGTAGCTGAACATCAAATATCCATGACTAAACAAACAGATTGCAAGATGAAAGATGAAGTTCATTTTTTTAAATATATTGCGTAATAATGATCTCCAAACCCTGATTAGTGCATAGAAGTACAAAGCCACTGCATGTTTGAGCCATATCATTCTTATTGTGTACTTTCACATTTGTATAAAATTAACAACGTTGATAACATCATTTAATTTTTTTTCAGCATCATCTGAGCAATTTGTATGTCCAAACCCATATCAAGGAGAGATGACTTGAAGTCATGGAGTTAGAACATGACATTTCCTCATCCAATTATGAATAATGTGATGAATGATGCAGGATCATATAATACACAGCAAAAGCTAAAGAATGCTTAGGGTTCAAACAGTGTGTAATGTTGGACATGTACAGGACATACGTGGACCCCCCCCCCCCCCCCCCCCCCCCCCCCCCACACACAAAGGGCAGTGTCAGAGTGTTGAATGGTTGGTGGGGACATGGTTCCTCAGCGCTCCATGATCAGTTCACCTGGCAGGGGGAAACAGGAAGTAGCTTGTGGTGGTGATGAATCCAGCTTCTTTACCCGTACACAGGTGTAAACCAGGTCCAGAGTCAAAATGATTGCACTGAATTCACAAGTGAACACAATGGCGGTGCAAACATGCCTCTGTTTGGTGTTTTGCATATTTTATGAGCAAAATGTCCAACTAGGGCAGCAGCAGCTCAGTCTGTAGGGACTTTGGAACCAGAGGGTTGCGGTTCAAATCCCTGAACAGACCAAGTACGGAGTATGGAGTAGTATTTGGAGAGGTTCACCTCACGGCTGAGGTGCCCTTGAGCAAGGCACTCCCCGAGCACTGTGTGTATAATGGCTGCCCACTAATTCCAATACTATGATGGGTTAAATGCAGCGGCTTGATTCACCGTGTGTGCGGTGCTGTGTACATGTACATATCAGAAGTCCTTTATACGTCCTGCAGCGGGGACATTTACAGCATTACAGCAGACGTGGCATAGCAGGTCAAAAAGAGATAAACATAATAAAGAGTAAGTAAACATATTAAACATAGAGAAAAAAACACATTAGTAATAAAATGAAAATAAAGACAAATAGGTTCTTATCCATTGTATATGCTATTTAGGTTTTGAGATATTATAACAATTATTATGATTATTACACAGCAGAATTGCAAAACAAGTGTTTGTATTGCACATTGCATGGTTATTGGCATGTGTGGCAATTAAAAAGGAACTCATTCAAATCCTCTAGTCTAGATGTTTAAATGTACATTTGTAAAATGTAAAATGTTTTTGCTCAAATGAATGATAGTATGAAAAGATAATGTTTTTCTTCCCACCAAGGCCAGAGTGGATAAGGCTGGAAAGCAACCTTTTTGTGGGATCCTCAAACAGCATGTGGATCCTCCGAGGTCAGAATCGGACTCTTATACTTAACTGTGATTGGACAAATGGGTAGACGTTAAAGGAGACCAAGTTTAAAGTCAGAATCCGAATTCCTTTCTTCATCCCACAGTGGGGAGGTGTACATTGTTACAGCAAAGTTTAGATCGAGACAGAAAGGCAAACAGTAAAAAGGCATGCACATAGTATTTAAGATAAAAATGTAAAGTCAAAGTAAATATTCGAGTAGATTGGTTGCAGCAGCAGTATTTATCAAATAAATCAAGTGTAACGTGTAGAATGTAGTGTGGTAGAAGCTAGACAAGAGGTACAATTGTGTATATAGGAATTATTTACAGATTCTTGTTAGAGTATTTAAATTGTGAAACTAAAAAGGCAGCCAGTAAAAACCCTGAATGGCTGTGATCGGTGGTGTTGGGACTGCAAACAGGCAGGGGGTGCAGCCAGGTGGAGGCACTCAGAACACTCAGCGCTTGGACCGCTCTTCAGGTGGCTGTGGCCAACAAGAACCAGGGTTAAATGTTCCAAAAGCTGAACTTGAATCTTGCCAGACGGGAACAAAATCCAAGATCTCACTGGCTGCTGTGGTTTCTGTCCTTTCAAAGTAAACGCTTGCCAAAAGATGCATCGCAATGAAAAAAGAAGGAATTTAAATTGGTAATGTGCAGTATTAATGAATATAAATTGCAAAATGCCCCCTTCCATAACATTTGCCAGAAATGGTGTAAGGCCTGGCACCCGTGTTGTGGGTTTGGGGGGGGGTCTGCACTGCAAAGCTCAGAGGGCATGAGATTAGCTAGTCCATCTTTTAATGGACAAACAGTGATTCTCTGCCAAAAGACGGTGTAGGGCCCTGGGATTCTGTCCTGCAGTCGGCATGGTCAAAATGTGTGTTTCCCCAGAGTGGAGCGGCTACGAGCTAAAGGCTCAGTGTGTTTCTCTGATATCCTAAGATGTAATTGCTCAGGAGCAAATTGTCCATAGTCTCTTCTTCTCCAAAACACACAGCCACTATTTCTGAAGGGGAAAGTGTATTTGGAGAATGGCTACACCCCTAGGCCCTGTATAGTGGAGTGGCACACCCCATATCTCTGTGTTCATGGAAACGTGGTGAGTGGATGCACTCTAGGTGCCATTGCTTGGGCTAAAAGCAATGGGTGGGTGGGTGTGACGTAGAGCCAGAGCTCTATAGAGCTCTAAATATAGGGTTAAATATGAAAGAACTTGGAGCAGAAGTAAGACAGGGCTGAGCGATATGAAGAGAATCCAAAATCACACTTTCTTTTGACCAAATCCCTCAATCAATAATGTGAGGATATCGTAGGGTTGACCATTAATGATGTTGCAAAAGAGAATTTGATAAATATTCACAAGTCGGTGGATTTATTGAAAAAATTGGTAAATGCAAAATATAGAAAAGCTGGTCAATTCAGAAAAAATCTTCATCTTTGAAACCAGGCAAAGACATTATTTAGGATATTATTTCATCCGATTTTCTGGGACAATGTCTAGCCTAAGCACATAGATATGTATATATATATATATATATATATGTATATGTCGCCCTAGATGGTGATGATGGGCTAATGTAGCTATAAGGATTGGCCAGTCATGTTTTGATGTGTAATCAGGCTAAAGAGCTGTGGCCTGGAAACTCGGCACTAATTGATCTGTAATGAGTCCATGAAGCAGGGGGTTTTGTAGGTACTGTAGTACAGTACAGTGCAGGGCAGA